ATCAGATGCAACGAGCCAATGACGACGAAATCGATGCAGATCAATCGCCCGGGGGGAGAACTACTTTGCAATAATCAATAAATATTGCTACATAGATTGTCGGATACCTCCTTGTCTCAACGGCGGTCAAATTGAAATTAGCATAACAAAGGTACCCTAAACTGCAGCTCTTTAAATACACGATTCCACATACACTTAGCAACACAGGGTGAAGCATTCGGGTACGGATCGTGCACTGATAAAAAAAACTACACATCAAATGGCCAATACGATTCTAAGATAGAAAATTCGCAAAACACGAAAAAAACAACAACAAAATCCTATAAACTAATTTAGCTTTAGTTATAGAGTTCAGTGCATAGTAGATACTCCTTCTAGATCCTTAAAAGGACAATGCTTATTCTTTTCTTAGCGACTGGTCGTCATCCTTTAGCATTCCACTGGGTGTGGATACTTCACTGCAGCTACTCGTTAATGGTTCAAGCGCTGAGCCGGAGTAGCTCTATGATAAGAACGCTGAAACCATGTTAGGCAAGCATTTTGTGTAAAAAAAAACACGAAAATCTTATCGCTTCTTACACTCTCCGAGACAGATTTTTTTTGCAGATGTACTTAAAGACTAGAAGTACACGAGGTACAGATAACAAAGTAAAGACAAAAAATCGTTTCCCATTTTCTTGAACGACAAGTATATTGCGAGTTAGCGAAGTAGTAGAAAAGTGTTTTTTTGCAACTATAGACTAACCGTATATGTAACGTTAGTACATTTTTTTCCGCTGGAAATATTCTTATAGAAGATATGGCTTGATCGACCTAAACTTTATGAAGTTTAGGTCGATCAAGCCATATCTTGTGTGCCAACTTAATGTGCATCTGCCATAGGAAATATCACAGATTCATCTTAAAATACTTGCTCGAAGAATGTTGTTTAAAGAGTACCTGTCAGAGTGCATAAACACTCGGTGCAACGTCATATATATATATATATATATATATAAACGACGAATGTTCATCCCAAGCGTAACTTTTTTTTTCTAAATATACGGGTTATACTAACGGCACCTCGTCATGGCCCAGCAAGCGATATTTTTGATTGTCTTAAAACTAGATAAGTTGACCGACTTCTAAAATAAGATTTTTACACGGCCTTCAAAATGTTTAGGGATCCGTGAATCCATACATACGGAAAGATCGTGCTTTTTTGTAAGCGTCGCGAATCCATATAGTAGTAGCATGAGCAACAAGACATTCAAGTCAGCGCCAAATGAATAGCCAAGCCCTCACGTTTATATTCAGTAGCAAAAATTCGAACTGACAGCTTTCATATTCAGGTCGGTCGACCAAAGGCCCGGTCAGGTTTAGGCCTTCCATGTCTTGACTCATCAAGCCATTTTCAGGTGTCATCGATTCATTATAGAACCCCTATAAAGTGGTAGTAGAATAAAATCACGTATGGTTCCAACTGTTCTTACTACTAGAGTGCCTCACTAAGACCAGTAAGCGAGTACGGAAGGCACCATGTAGCTTACACCATTTGAGAACAATCTATTCCGGTCAGATAACAACGATTGATCGATACTGGCTTCTGTCTATTATTCTTTGTTCTTTTTCCGTCAGAGTTAGCGATATGCGAGACGACAAATTGGTAGAAAATAAACTTACCTCCGTCTGGAAAAGTATGGTCTTAGAATTACCATGGACAATACATTTCTAGTGCGAACGGAGCAAACCTTCTAGGCTTCAGGGTAGATTACCCGTATTTTTGACATTTAATATTATAGACTTCTGATTCAGTAATAGGGATGCTTTTCTTGCTAGCTGCTTAGGATCTTATTTTTTGCTTTATACGTAAACACCGGGCAAGCGTTACACGAATTTCTTACTAATACATCCATTTTCCACTTGTAAAAATTAACCTTATTCTGATCTCTGATTTATATAGATACGCTACGCTCGACACTTCTTCCACTTTACCAGTTACTGGACAAAAAGAGAGAGCAATTCATGAAGTACTTCATCGAAATTTCTCGCCGGAACAGCCTTCGTCATAGGCGGCCATCATTCGGATCAGCACGCATATACTCTGTTTGCAGTCGCTTCAACGTGACGTATAGCTAGATCAAAAAACGTAATATAAGACAGTTTTGTAGAGCGTTGCCATTCTGGTCGCTTGTTGAGACGGCGGGTGAAGGGCTTAGTCTATACTGGTTGTTGATTTTCTCAGTGAAACTCACTTCTACAACAGATGGCCCAACGACACGAAGCGTCAGACGGTTGTACAGCCCGTCTGCAGCAGATCATTCTCTTTATGTCTCCTTTATCCGTTCCACTTAAGAGACCTAGTAGGCCAATACGATGAGCAGCAACAGTCGTTGTAGTATCAGCGACCGTATCAAACGAACCGCAAGAAGTCGACAAACGGTAATCCTGAGTTTCGCTCACTACAGCAATTGCACGACGGAGTCGCGAAAGGGGCAACAGGGCAACGTAAAAAATGAACGACGAATTTGCTGTCTGCGAAGGGCAGTTGTAGATAGCACTAGTTACTGCTTTATTCTATTTCTTGCTTTTAGCTTAGACCGAAACCCTTATTGACAGGGGTCAATTAAATTCGAGTTGGCGGACAGCCTTCACGATATTTTTAGTAGCATGAATTTACACTGTGCCCTTTGTCGAATCTTGGCCAACGAACGACAGTCATGTTCCTATCGTTGATACAGACTATGAAAGAGAGGACAACGTCGTTTGCCGTGCTGGTACTGCATCGTTAATAGGAAATGAAACAGAATGATGCCATTGGCGTAACGGCCGAGTCCGGTGTTTACGCCGCACTGAGGATAGAACACCGGAATATAAAGCCAACAGTAGCGGCAAAGTAAACAAAATAAGCTAGAGGTACCACGTAATGGCCTTGTGAGGCCGCGTTTGATTCCTGCCTACTAATAGCGCCTGGTGCAAGTTTAATGCCGCGCTACTTATCTGCTGCTGGTTAGGTCATAAATATGGCCGGGGCTAAACTAAAAAAGACATCGGTCACAGCCACAACAAAGTAACGCACAAGCCTTCAGATGCAAACGGCTTTCGTTTGTCATCGTTTCGATTCGTTTGTTGAGTTGTCCGCGCGGTGACGCCGACGCTGACGAATGCTGACTAAGCAGTGTGCAGTTTACCATTGTCGACCTTCAGGATAGAAACGTAGAGTGGAGCACGAGATAAATCCTGTGCTAGATTACTTTCAGTAGCTACCTTGCCGTGATGAACTGCTGCTTTAATCGAAATAGCTAATAGAAGAACTTCGGCGAAAATTAAAATCGTCACCGTCTTGACAGCCTTCTTTTCAAGGCAGGTGCTGCCTGCCCAAACAGCTGAAAGGTGTTTGCGTGGAAATACCACTGACCCACCTAAAAGTAGGTTAAAGGTCCGCTGGCTCCAAGCCAGAGAAAACGATTAGCTGCCCGTTAGAAAAGGTTGAATCGTCGGCAAGACTTCTAGCAAACGTGAAATTGCGTAAAAGTCGTAAGCTTTTTAGATACTTGTTGGACTTTATTAATTTTGTGGATACAATAGCTCCCGCGTGTAGAGGTCACTGGGATGGTCATAAAAATACAAATATAGCATGCCGTTTAGCTGTAAGGCTACTCTTGTTTGAATTCTCAAATCTTTGATCGGGCCATTTCTGTGATATTGCAATGCCTTGTTCTCTTTGGGCTATAAACATTTATTATCGCTGTTTTACAGGACTTATAGATAATCTGTGCAGGCTTTGCGATTTTCCAGTGAATATATTACAGCTGGTTAACATATGAGCTTGTGACAAGCTAATTACGTAACTGCTGACTGGTCAGCCGGCTTAAGGTCAGAGTTTGGACAAGTGCTTAAAGCATCTCCAGGCGTAATGGTCTAGGACTAGGTTAGGTTGTTTATGTAGACACGCCCCTGTCAACCATATAGCTGTGGCTAAACACACTAGTTTCATCCTCGAGCTAGGACAAGTACGCGTATGAACTGGAAAATAAACGCTAAGAGCGCTAGATGTACCCTTAGGAACACGTAATGGTCTCGATTCGGATCGGGCCGTGAATACATTTCGTATTGTGTTGAGAGTTAGCAATCTGATGAGGTGGCAAACCGCGACACCGAACATAATCCTTAAAACATTCAGATACACCCTAAATACACTTCTAGGTGATACATTTTTTGTCCATGCAAATTATGTAGTTGTATGCACCGATGGCGGGATTTGAAGCCCTCTGGAAAATAAGTTCTATCATATATATATATATATATATACATACATATGCATAAGTGATAATTAGAATCCAGTATTTGTATGTATATTCTGGGGGCCCTTGGGAACTAACGAAGGGGAATAAAATGCATATATAGAAGTAAAAAAACAACGCGGGCTGGCGGCTTGGTACTTGCGCTGTGACAGCTAAAGCTGCCTCACATATCTATCTGTTTAGTGGTAGCCTCAGGGACGAGCTTTCTTTATTATCAGGGTGAGTTGAATGATTATGGCTAGCGTTGTAACTCGGAGTGAAAAGAAAAAGATTTGACAGAGAATAACGTGTCCCTCATGTCTGTGTGGATTTTGAACGACTATTATAAAAACTACGACATAGCAGTTAACGTCGAAAAATATAGTGATTTTAGCCAAAAGAATAGCTTACCCTTTGTCGAAGTAAGCAGTCGAAGTTAGTCATATAAATTTAGAAAGACACATATGTTTCTACAACACATATGTTCACATAGCAGTTAATCTATTGATACTTAGAGCAATTCATATTTATAAGTCTATTTCAAGTTATACACTTGGCACGTGCCGTTGCACGTTGCTGAAGAAGCATAAAACGAAGCATGTATTGATCGATGCGTCGTTTCAAACCAAAATCTCCGCGCCTTCGGTAAGCAAATACGTTGCCATCACGAAAGAACGTCCTTGACCCTAGTGGGCATACATTTTATGACTACATTACCAGGGGGGCATAGTTACTGACCAGCATGTCACGAGGGTTTCCTCGAATCCTGTGCCACTGACGTTCTTCGCCGCTTGCGTGTAACATAGGACCATCTCATTGTTGAGTGTTAGAACTCTAAGTTCCTCGTCGTCCCTCGGAGTGGTATCGACAATATGCTCAATAACTGAAATCGAATCGTCATAGTAGAAAAATACTCACATATTGAAATCAACAGTAAACCATTCGAGCGGGTAATTTAAATTAGCTCGGTCAGGAGGTCCATAATTTCAACAGAATATCTCTTTCAAGGCGCTTGTTTCAATAAGGCACACTTTATACAATTATTCTAAGGAAGCTAGAAACGATCCGGAAATTGCTACCACATGACCTTGACAAATCACCTAAGGTGTTCAACCTTGTGACAGGGCAGCATATAATATGAAAACGAGTGGCCAAAGTCGAGCGAAAAGGCCGCGATTAAGAAAATTAGCTTGTGCTGAACCAATATTCGACTCACGGTGTCGGTGAAAATTACTCTTATTCAGTTTGTATCTTTCTTTTCATTATCGCTGATTTGCAAAAATATGCCCTCTGTCAAAGTTGTGTGGCTCGTGTTTTTATGCTACGCCGATCGCGTCATGGTACAAAAGCAATGTTTTGAGATGTGTGCACACAATAGGCTAAAAATGATGCATATGTACATTACCTTCTTAGAAAAAGAACTTTTCAAAGAAATTAGAACCCTCGTTAGTTGAAAACTTTCCGGTTATGCATGTATCTTGCCTTCTGTAAAGTTTGAGATTCTGTCCCGGTTTCGAAGTGACTGTTTGTCTGGCTATATCAAATATGCATCGTTTTGCTTCTAGTGAATTCGTAAAGTTAGTCACCTACTATTTACTATTAAAATTAGATAATAAACAAGTGACTCAGGACAAGGTATTAAACAAATCAAATACTTCGTAGCATAACTGCGGCGAACAGTAAATTTTAAGGCTCAAATCAGGCTGTCTACTGATCCATTAAAAGAAGACAAAGGCACACAAATCGGCTTTCTTCTCTAACGATTATACCTGGACTTGTTGTGGCCAATAACAATGTCCGATAGTATAGTATCGTTTGCTTCCTTTTCCTACAGCATATTTGGTTAGGCTTTTGAAAATCACGCAAACCCGTAAGAGAGCAACTAAAACCTGACTATTAAAATAGAGTAGTTCGTTGTTTTTTCGTTCCATATACTCTGCTGACGTCGCTTATTTCATAAGAAAATACCATGGAAGAAGATAAAAGAGAGATAATTATTGCAGGGAACGTTAAATTTTTAAGCAATTTTCGACTACCTTTGCACACAAACCGTTTGTTCAGGCACAAACTCTTTCAAGATCTTTTTTTCAGCTAATAATAATGATTATTATTATTATATGAGTATGTGGCTTTACGTATACCAGCTCGACATTGAATTAGTAGGACCGTTCCTCAGTACGTTTCGTAGGACATTTATTTTGATTTGGTTGATTACTTTCCTTACGTAGATTTCCGAAGTAAGGACTTTTCAGGGCACTTGAGAGTACTGAGACTAGCACTTCTATGCCAACTCTAAACTCCGTGCACCAATATCACCATCATAACCGACTTACAAGCGTCACAGAGGTCCATCATCAACAGCGTTGTAAGCAGCACGATGTACCTCGTCATCATCTTGAGCGCAAGCGAGGTCAAATTGAAGCTCGAACGTAATCGACGGAATCGCCTGAAACGAAAGTAGATACGGGTCGTAGCAGCAGTCGTGCTATAATGATCAGATATTGTTATCGCTTTATTTACGCTGCTGATTCTTTTCTCATATTTGTAAATATAAACAGGTTAAACAGTTTTGGAAGGTGTTAAATATGTTACGACACCACAATCAACCGTCCAATCGATTGCATTGTAGGCTTGCGAAGAAATCTATTCTTCGTCAAACGAAAGTATCATCGCAGAAGATTCATAGAGGCGGTGATTGGCTGCTCTTTCTCAGCTATTGTCTGCCAATAGTTCTTGTATTATGCGCATTATGTGTATATTACGCTGTTTCGTATGTCAGCATAAAACTTGTTAGACACTTCCCGGTGCAAGATAGCTTCAGTCTTCTGTACAATTACTCACGCCTCGCAACCCGTTTGTTGATTATCAAGTACGAATCGAGATGTATATGTATCTTACAATTGCATAAAACAGTAGAACGCTATTTAACGTCAACTGTCTATGAAATTAGATTCAGAATTCTAGATACGACCCCATATTTCATCAGTTACTGTGAGAATTGCTCGGATCAGCCCAATTACGTCAACTTGAATTGATTCAAATATAAAGAGCTCTAAGTAAAGATTGCAGCATGCATTTTTATATCACGCGGATTATCACGTAATCATTGTAAAGATTCTGCAAGACACAGAGCTGTGCCTAAAGCTCGCGCATCGTTCCACGCGACGAAGTAAAAGCCATGCAAAAAGTATGTCTAGGGGTGAACTGTCTATTATGTCTCTATATACCCATCACAATATGCCGTAATTGGAAAAACCCGCAAATATTTATGCCAGTTCGATTGCCGTTATCTACAGAAGTAAACCCATATTTAGGATATACGGTTTAGCTGTTTGATGACCATGTTGGCTGTGTGAATGTCTTCCTATGTAGTGTATCTGACTGGAGACGGCGATAGGCTACCCGTGAGCTAAAGATGTACGTCCGACAACAAAAGCAAAAAAACAAAAACGAGACCTTTGTGGAGATATTATTTACAAATGTGGAACTAATTAGGAATTAATAGTTCTACGGGTAACTACAAATGATGAGTGGGCATTTTATCAAGTTGTGGTCAAGATTATTACTACTGTAGTACGTATTCGAACTGAACACGAAGGCTTTCATTGGTACTTATAATCATCTGTGGTTTTTAATGTAAACATGCTATTACGTACCCACTGTATTAAGCATACGGTCGATCAGACGGATTCTTTCCATGTAGGCTGATACCGCAGCAAGTGTTATGTCGGAACCAGCAGTGACGCATTTGTTTCAGTGTTCTAATGATTTACGTGCAGAATATCTATGCGATGAGATAAACATTCGCCACATCGTACCATTTCATCAGCAGGCCTAATAACACAGCAGTCGCGACCCGAGTGTTGTGGCTTCTGGGTCGCATATTGTGTAAAATTTATTGTTTTGTCTAGTTAAATACAAACAAAATGACCTTTGACGGACAAGACTGTGTGCCTTACTCTGAAATACAAAGGGAGAACTTTGCGCTTTACAGCCCACTTCTAGATATCGCGTAGATACTACGTTAAAGCTAAATTGCAAAATGAATTTCCGAAAATAAGACGATTGCGTGATATCTGCGTACTTGCCTACTTTTAACTATTGAAATGGCCTGATTTCTATTCTCGAGATATTCACGTTTATAAACCCTTTCTCTATGTACATTAAAAAATTACTTTTTTATTATTTACTCTCTTTTCTATGATAGGCCTCAGTACCGTTGTATCATAATCAGTTCAAGCTTGTGTCACGGCAAGCAGACTCCATTACGACCGGTCTAAAGGTACCGAATAGGAAATGCCTTTTTCATGAGTCGATTTTTTTTTTTGCTATCGAAGACTCAACATGCGCTCAGATTTGAACCAGGGTTCACCACCCCTATGTTCATCCAAATACGTTGTCACGTCTTCACATCGAATACATTTAGATACACCAGGTTGATTACATATATTTTATACCCATGATAGTATGGTAAAGTAAATGGACCATAAACAGCACACATCGGATACTAAAGACAAATTTATTAGAAATTTCGTATTTTTCTAACAGAGTGGAAACAATTAGTTTGATCTCTTACAGCACGTGCCTGCTCGCTACCGGCATCAATATACAGAGTGGAGTTCACAGTTCTGTAGAAGGGTTTGAAAGGACCTTAAAAGATATAGTAGTACATTATCAAAAGTGCACTGACCGTTTCTCTAGCTAAATTGATTTTGACCCACTATATCAGGTAATATAACTTGCACTGGTCCCAGATTTGGCAATAGCAGATATGCTATATATATATATGTATATATCTGAGCTTAAAACAGGCTAACTAGCAGTTATATTTTATAGTTTCATTGCGGTAAAGGCATAAATGCCGCATAGGCCCATAAAAAAAATTTGTGTTTTTTACGGAAGTTGGGTTCTTGAAAAAAATAGCCCAATAGTGCTCCTGTAACTTTCGATGCGAAAGATTTTTGTTCTAGCTAGCGAAGAGCTGATCAAAAATTGAGCACACTACAATATGGTAAAAAAGTGTGTTCCGCAATCTGCAGTAGAGCTTAGACTGATGTCAAGAAAGGTAATGTTATCTGCTTGGTAGGATTGAAAGGGGCATAATGAATGAATAGGCACTGCCTTACAAGATGATTCAGTCGTTTACTTAATCTGTACTATTACTGTCAACAACTAACACGGTTGCAATATGGCGCTGGCCGGAACTAATCGGCAGAATAAGCGTCGTCTTTTTCCATAAAAATGCCGGACGATATACATTGAAAAGAGAGTTTTAATGCAACCGCCGTTCAATATGGACGTTGCACCATCAGAAGATCATCTATTTCAGCCTCTACTCTACTCTACTCTACTACAGTTACTCACTTGTAAGAGTCACGACACATATGTAATTCCACCTGAACGAAATACCTTTGTTTTTTCCAGAACATATCAAAGCTTTCTGGTGAAAGAGATGATGCCTCGTTTTACCATAGGATCATCTACAGCTCTTCAGGCTCCTTGGAAAAATCGATCATTCAAGCATTTTGCAACCGCTTAAATGTCTATATACAACTATACTTATGATTAAAAGGACGCGACAAACATTCCGCGGTTATTTGTACGAACCTGATAATGGTCAATAAAAACATTGAAAGGGCAAAAACAGCACTTATAAACAACGCGTTTCCAAGTGTTATCAAACGAGTTGTACTACCAAATACTAGGCTCGGTAGATCTTTTTAGTTAAATCTGTCATTTTTGCTAGTGAAAGTGGTCCAAAGAATATACCTGGCGGAGTCCAGCCGCATCTTAGTACAATTGTCTGTTGCAGGAATCGACAATGAGAGACTTCAGGAACTTTTTCAATGGAATCAACATCCAGTTAATGCCATTTTCCTACTTATATCATATGTTTGCTCCAAGCCGAACTTGAAGTCAAGATCATGCAGTGATAATTCTAGTGACTTTTGTCAACCTTCCAGCATTGAACTACGTCGATGCTTATCCAATATATAGCAACATCCTCGCAGAATCCACCCCTAGCGATAAAGGCTCTCTTTCCAAACGATTGTCATTCCCACCGGAACGAACTGGGTGTCAGCGTGTTACTAGACGAATTTTTTATGGTCGGTTTGGTGTTAGTACGTCAACGCGGCCAGTGCTATCAAACGACGCAAAAGCACGTATGGAAGAAATCGGCAGAACGGAATTTCCTGGACATATCCGAACAAATTGCTTGGCCAACTTTACCTTCTCAACAAACCACGCGGACTGTGCCTAACTATACGCCCCCTTGCCGGGGTAACGTGTTTGCCCGCTAGGGGCCTAGGAACACGCGATAGTCGGATTTTGAATCCGGGTGTAGACGCACTTTACTTTATGCTGGCAGAAGTTATCCGTCTGAAGCAATATCTAACGATTGAACAACGTAGATTACGAAGAAGACTATAAAAACATCGTTTAGACCACATTAGTTATTCTTGCAATAGTCAAACCTTTATAGTTCGCTCGACTGTGCGTGCGCATTATATTGAATAGGAACGACGCTATATAAGTAAACGGTCATGATAACAATGCTTTATATAATTCTACGATTTGTATTGCTTCATACTTTTACAGAATCATTTACGGAAACTTCAGGTAAATAGATTACGTAAATTAGAGTCTAGTTGATGCCCACTACGACATGCCCCGAACACGTCTATGGTGTCCAGTAGTAATCACACTAACAGGTAGCACACAATCGTACTTTAGCAAACGATATATATAGGTTGCGCATATATTGTCCCATACATTTTAAGCCAGATGGGCGCGTTCTGTCGAATCCGGTCAGGGTCATACATGTTTGATGTATGTAAGAAAGCTATTTTCCGAACTATTACTTCACTTACCAGTTGGGCCAGCCGTTGATATTTATCGAAGTCTTTCATTGTAGCAAGTAAGCAAGCATCAGCCATACATCGTTTTGAGCACGTTCGAATCAGAAGTTGGCCAGTTACCTATAGAATATCGACCCCAAAAGCTAAACTACAAGTAGTGATGCATTGGAGGCATGAAACACGACACGGTATTAATTATAATAAGTGGCCACGCCTTTCAGTCGATGCGGACTCCGATGGCTGGCGCCACCTGCACTAGCGACCGTAACAGTAAGGAATGGCCGCTACGTCCGCTTTTGTTACTGCTGCTGCTGCTGCTACTGTTGCTAAAGCGTTCTCGTAGTCGTCGTCGGCTACACTGAAATCGCCAAAACTGGTTCGGAAGCGTAACGCTCGTGGAAAGGGTGTCGACAAAGGACTTCGGGGCTTTGCGTAGTAACATAACGTGGAGCGAAGTAAAGTGAGACGCTTTTTGCAGCGATTTTGTCGATCGTGCACCCGGAAACACAAATGCGCAAAAATATGGACAGTTTGTATTTACTGGAAACGTCACATCGATCAATGTTCTGGTCGGTTGTTTCGATAA